TCACTCATAACTCTAGCTGTCCTGTTTTCACATTAAGCTGAGCAAACAATCTGCCTAAAAATTGGTGTTTAGTGATATAGTTGAAATGCCCTGTTTTCTGTCTTTATACCAAGAACTTTGGTAGGAATAAAAATATGTGTGGAGACTTTATTTTCATGTAACGTTTTATAAGTAGTCTTCAACTTATGACCATAGTTGGACCCCAAATTTCTGTTGTTAAGCAAGGAGGTTGCTAAGTGAGTTGCACCTGATTTTACAACCTTTTTTTTGCTATGGTTGTTAAATGAATCATGACAGATGCTAAGTGAATCATGTGGTTGCTGAGCTAATCTGGCTTCCCCCATTGTCTTTATTGGCCAGAAGTCATCTGGGAAGGTCACAAATGACAATCACATGACTCCAGAATGTTGCAACCCTTGTTATTTATCTGTACAGGTAGTCCTCAATTTATGACCACTATTGAGCCCAAAATTTATGTTGCTAAGTAGGAAATTGGTTAAGTGAGTTTTGCTCCATTTTACAACTTTTCTTGCCAACTTCTTAAGTGAATTTCTGCAGCTCTTAAATTAGTAACCTGGTTATTAAGCGAATCTGGCTTCCCCATTGACTTTGCTTATTAGAAGATTGCAAATGGGGGTGGTGGTGGGGTGTCACATGACTTCAGGACACTGCAACTGTCATAAATGTGAGTCAGTTTTCAAGCATCCAAATGTGAATCACATGATCGTGAGAATGCCGCAACAGTCATAAGTGTGAAAAGTGGTCATAAGTCACTTTTTCCAGTGCCGTTGTAACTCTGAACCGTCACTAAATGAACTGTTGTAAGTCAAGGACTACCTGTAGTCACATAAAAATTTCTGAAAACATCTCGGAATTCTCAGTCTCTTTGCTCAGGATTGTTTCATAATCCTACCTATTCTGGTTCTTCCCTGCACAATCAACATCTATATTGCACTGGTATCATTAATAAAGACATCAACTCAACTAACCAAGTGCCAGAGGGATCAAGGATCATAACTTTCCAGTCTTCAAAGTCTGATGGATAACCATATTTTAATGGCTTTTCTAAAAACATCTTTCAGACACAGGTAGTCCTCGACTTACAACAGTTCACTTAGTGACTGTTCGAAGTTACGATGACATTGAAAAGATTGGCAACTGATTCACATTTATGATGGTTGCAGGGTCCTGGAGTCATGTGATCTCCTTTTGCAACCTTCTGACAAGCAAGGAAGCCCAGATTCATTTAACGACCGGATTACTAACTTATCAACTCCAGCGATTCAATTAACAACTATGGCAAGAAAAGTGGGGCAAAACTCACTTCACAAATGTTTCGCTTAGCAACAGAAATTTTGGGCTCAATTGTGGTCGTAAGTCGAGGATTACCTGTATTGGAAACAGGGGTGGGGATTGGAGGCGCTCTGAATGGCATCCTTCTACATCTTGTGTCTCCTTGTGCGTTTATTTACTTCTGTGGAAAACAGGGTTTCAGTCAATTCCAGTAGATATTTTCCTATATGTTTTTTAAAGTAGGAAAATCCCTGTCAGTAACCTCAGTGTATCAAATAAGTCACATTACGATTTTCCAGGTAGTCCTCGACTTATAACCATTGATTTGGCCATCGTTCGAAGTTACGATGGCACTGAGTTACAACTGGACCCTGCACTTACAACCATTACAGCATATCCATCAGTGGTGGGTTTCAAATTATTTTACTACCGGTTCTGTGTTTTTTTTACTACCGGTACTGTGGGTGTGGCTTGGTGGGCGTGGCATGGCTTGGTGGGTGTGGCTTGGTGGGTGTGGCAGGGGAGGGATACAGTAAAATCTCCATTCCCACCCCACTCCAGGGGAGGAATACTGTAAAATCTCCATTCCCTCCCCAATCCAGGGGAAGGATACTGCAAAATCCCCATTTCCTCTCAATCAGCTGGGACTTGGGAGGCAGAGAATAGATCGAGGCGGGGCCAGTCAGAATTTTTACTACCGGTTCTCCGAACTACTCAAAATTTCTGCTACTGGTTCTCCAGAACTGGTCAGAACCTGCTGAAACCCACCTCTGATACCCATGATCATGTGATCAAAATTTGGGTGCTTGGCAACTGGAAATTCTGGTCCCAGTAGTGGTTGTAAGTTGAGGACCAACAATGTCATGCTAAAATCCTTCAGATTTTCTTCTCTTTCAGTGCATGAACACCAACAGGGATGTCCAGAGCATTTGTCCAGATGGCTGGATTATTAGGCATAATTTGGTCAGATCATCTCAGCTACTAACTGATGGGTGTCTGCAGTTTGGCAAAGGGAAGACTGGAGCAATTACAGTATTCCCTCATTGCCTAATCTAAGAGTGATATCAAGCCATACATAATTCAAACCTAGCTTTTCAAATTACCCTTGTCCCAGCATCCCATTAATCTTGAGCAATAAAAACAGCAGTAAATCTTGAACGAGGTTTATGGATTGCATTTGGAAGAGAAAACATTCAAGTCAGTTGTATTCTTCATTTGAAAAAAAGATATGAGTAGAAATACAGTCCAAAGGAAACAAATTCTGCAATCGAGAAAATAATGCAACCCATTTTTTTTTTTAGTAAAAGGCTATGCAGAGGCTAAGTCATCAGTCATACCTACTGCATTTCCTGCTGAGAGTAAGAATAACACTGTTGCATTTTGCATATATGTCAGACATGCTGCCAAGTGTTCCCTAAATATCATATGTTATTCTATACAAGCAAAAATTGTGAGTCTGTGTGACTGCCTACATCCCACCAAAAAGGAAATACATGCAATGGACTGACTTAGACCCAGGATGTTTTCAGTACTATGTTGAAAAGGTTTCTGCCTGCCTTGAAGAGCTGCAGGTGTAGACAGTGTATCTGGAGAAATGTTAAACTATGGATGTCATTTGCTTAAGGAGTGGTGCCTTATTTGACGTGCATGTGAAAACGGCATTTAAGCTGATGATTTAAGGCTATTTTTCTGTGCAAATGAATGATTTTTTTTTTAAAAAAATTCAAGGTTAGTATCTTAACTTTGGAACACTTTTAACTCACAGAGAACCGTGAAGGCCTCCTGCCCACACCCCATGGTTTCCAGAAGATCTTTACAAATGATGACATATTATTACAATTGTACTGTGTAATTCTGGTTTATTTTATTGCCAGAATGGGACAACTCACAATTCAATTATTTGAAATAATTTAAAAAAAACATTTTAATTTTTGTCATTCACATTGCATTTTGTCCCTCCTTTGGCATCCTTGCTTTAATGCTTCTATTCCACCATTTCTTTAAAATTAGTGTCACTCTTGTCCAGTGGCAAGTTGGCCATGCCAAGTTGGCCAAAGTGAGTTGTCCTAGACCGGTGATAGTTAACCTTTTTGGCACCGAGTGCCAAAACTGGAGTGTATATGTGGATGCCAGATCACTGTAACCTAGAAGAGAGCAGTTGGCTGGTGCGCATGTGCGCATGTGCGTGGCGGCCAGCTGTTCTTCCAAAATCTGCCATGCAGATTGAGTGGCAGCCAACTGGTCTGGCATGCATGCATGCCAGCCAGCTGCTCTCTTCCGGGTTCCAGCGTGCTCACACCAGAACTCGGAAGATAGCAGCTGACCGATGTGCATACATGCGACAAAACCCAGAAAAGCAGCTGGCGACAGCACACGTGCCCACAGAGAGGGCTTTGCGTGCCACCTCTGGCACACATGATTCGCCATCACGGTCGTAGACCCTTTTATTGCTGTGCCTAAAATTTTAATTTATTGTAACCTGCCCAGAATGTTTTTAATTGGGTGGGACATAAAAACTGGATGACTATCCAGCTGACATTGTGGTGGTCACAGAATGAGACTTTATACCAGGCAATGGTATGTAGACTGGAAGGTTCAAATGAGAGTTGGATACGTCAGGAGAAACTTCTGAGGAAGTGCCCTGAGTCACTTCGGGAGTCCTTCGCCCTGAATCCTTTGGGAGTCCTTCAGGAGTAGGGCGGTATAGAAATCCAATAAAATAAATAAATAAATAAATAAATAAATAAATAAATAAATAAATAAATAAATAAATAAATTGGACACTGATGAAATGTCACTGGAATGGCATTGTTTTTCACCCTTGTCATTGTTGCAGCATTGCTTTCTCCATGGTCATGTGGTCAAAATTCTGGCAACTGGCTCATATTTATGACGGATTCAGTGTCCCGGGGTCATGTGATCCCCTTTTGTGACCTTCTGACAAATAAAATCAATGGGGAAGCCAGGTTCATTTTGCAACCGTGTTACTCACTTAACAACTGTTGCAAGAAAGGTCATAAAATGGGACAAATGTCTCACTTAGCAACAGAAATTTTAGGCTCAATTGTGATCGTAAGTCGAGGACTATCTGTCTTTCAAAAAATGGCATCTTTACTCCAGGACTTTCCACCCCAGCCAATCAGAAATCAGAAACCATTCATTTAATGACTGTTCAAAGTTACAACCGCAATTTAAAAAGTGACTTATGACCAGTTCTCATACTTATGACTGTTAAAGTACTGTATCTCCACAGCCCTCAGATTTCAGATGCCTGGCAACTAGCTTCTATTTATGATGGTTGTAGCATCTCTGTGTCCCTGGAATTGTCACTTGCAACCTTCCTAGGGAGTTCAGATAACCAAAGTCAATGGGGCAAGCCAGATTTGTTTAAGTATCGCATGATTCACTTAACAACTGTAGAGATTCACTTAACAACCATGGCAAATAGGCCATAAAATGGAGCATGGCTGACTTAGCAGCTGTGTTGCTTAGCACTGGGAAGCTTGGGTTCAATTGTGGTTTTAGGTCAAGGATTATCTGTATTGTAGTCCTATTTCAATATATATTTATGGTATGGATTGGTTTCCTTACGAACTTTCTTACTCTGCTTCCTCATTATGTCGGTCAAAGAGCACGTGGCGTCTGAGTGGCTAATCTGCCCATATTTTCAGGTTATCATTCCGTTCCATAAGAAGAGCGATGCAAAAATGGCTACTGGGGGATTGCTGGGTGCAGAAAACTTTCACCGATTCACTCCTCAATCTCTGGCCGCCATCAAGAAGCGTATCATGGCCAAGAGAGACTTGCCACCCACAGAGAAGCTACGGCCCCAGCTTGATCTTCAGGCATGCCAGAAAGTCCCTGCCCTTTATGGAAACCCTCCTGTGGAACTTATTGCAGAACCCTTGGAAGATCTAGATCCCTACTATCATGATCACAAGGTACAGTATTATGAGTCAATGGCAGTGGTGGGATTCAGCCAGTTCGTATCTATTCGGGAGAACCGGTTGTTGGAAGAAATCTTATTTTGTTTTTTTTCCCCCACTTTACAGGGCTAATCCTGTAAGGAAGGCAGGAAGGAAACATTCTGGTGTTGTTTCTACCCTAATCTTTATTGCTCTGCTTACAGAAACTGCCTCTCTGGTTAACCCTTGTTACATTGTAACAGTTAAAGCGAAGCGCCCATCAACCTGAGTGACGTTGAGTTGGCCACGCCCACATGGTCACATGACCACCGAGCCACACCTACCGAGCTGGTCATTAGGCAGTGGTGGGATTCAAGTGATTTAACAACCGGTTCTCTGCCCTAATGATTTATTCCAACAACCAGTTTGCCAAACTGCTCAGAAAGTTAACAACCGGTTCTCCTGAAGTGGTACTGAACTGGCTGAATCCCACCACTGTCATTAGGGCAGAGAACCGGTTGTTAAATTATTTGAATCTCATCGCTGGTCAATGGTATCATTAGTGTCGTAAGAAAAACAGACATATATTGTGATGAGCTTTTAGAGAAAATGGGATTACTTTTTTTTTAAAAAAATGCTTGCTTGAAATTCTTATCGAGTCAGCATCTATCCAAACTTTATTGATCTCAAAAAGTTAATCAGGGTTAATTTTCAAGAGGTCTTGGATGGGAGACCACTAGGAAGGCTCAGACTGGATTGGGACATCAGGAATATTGCTACCCACGAAGTAGCAACCCATTTCTATGAGGAGTTCTTGGTGCTCTCTGAGCTTGGTTGTTTTCCATTACCCAAACTAAGCAACACTATCAGTACTAGAAGGTGTTTGCAGAAAGGAGGAGGAGGAGGAGGAGGAGAAGAAGAAGAAGAGGATGGGGAGGACTAAGGAATCCTTGAGATTGGTTGTTTTCTTGCAGTCATTTCATTACCCAAACTAGGTGAAATCATTGGTGCTTTGGGTAATGAAACATCTGCAAGAAAACAACCAGATACGGAGAGCACCAAGTCTCCCTCCCCACTCCTTTTTGCAAACACCACTCCCATCTAGGATTGATAATCTTACTTAGTTGGGTCATGAGATATCTATAAGAAAATCAAGCTCAGAGAGCACCTACATTTTAACCCTGAGCTACAAATATTCTCCTCCACTGGAATCCCTTCTGTACCATTCATAAATCTACATCGAAGTGTCTACAGAGTCACTAAGAATTAATTCAAAAACATGCTTTGTTATTTAAGTCAGGGATTCTCAAATTTTGGGTTGGGTCCAGTGGTGGGTTGCCCCCAGTTATTTGGACCAGTTCTATAGAACCGATAGTAAAAGCGGCAGGAGGCTCCGCCCACTGACGCTGACGTCATCAGAAGCGATCTGCGCGTGCGCAGAAGTGAGTGCGTGTGCGATCCCATTGTGAACCGGTAGTAAAGGTAAGTAGAACCCACCCCTGGTTGGGTCCCTCCAGGAGCAATCTGGAATTAGAAAGTGGGGGGGGGGCAACTTTTAATGCCTGTTCTCACAGGCAAAGCAAGAGGAATTAAGTCTGAGCTTTGTTCATCACTTTGCTTCTGCCAGACATTGTTGGACTGTTGGGGTTTCAGCAAAGTTTGAGGACTCAATTTAAAAGTTTAAGTCTGCGTTCTAGAACTGCTCCAGTTGTGTTGCTCTGGATTTCTAATCATCCGATTGCACAACTCTTCAAGACCCCGGAATTCTGGATATTCATCCCCTTCTTATGAGGCATGTTTGCATTCTATGTTCACTGAACGTGGTCACACGCATCCTTTCTACATTTTAATTTCTTGACCATAACCGTTGCAATCTGCAAACCTAAAACATCACACCCATGTGTTGTGGTCCGCCAGCAGCCTGCGGGGCTGGCAGCAGAGTCAGACAGTGAGGAGGCTGGGGTGGACCATGGGCCAGTCCTGGAGTCAGGGGGAGGGCCCAGATGGGGGCTCTGCGTCGGAGGCAGAGATGGGGCCAGGGCCATCTGGGAGCGATGCACGGACTCCGGAGCTTCCAGAGGCGGATAGCAGAGAGGCAGAGGAACAGGAGGAGCCTGTTCCTAGTGCACACATGTGAAGAGCTGCCAGAAGGCAAGAGCAGCTAAAGCAAAAAGGACGACTCAGGAGTAAAGCCAGGAGATGATTGGCCCCTCCCAGAAGGCTTAAAGGATCTTTGTCCGAAAACAACATTGATAGGTTTGTTTCTTGTCAGCATCTCTTGCTTCTGAACTTTTGCCAAGAAAAGCCTTTGGCAGGGCGCCAAAGAAGACAAAGGTTGGTGATAAGGCCAAAGGACTGTTTATGAAGAATTTGTTTTGGAATTAATTTGGACTAAGCTGAGAATGAAGTAATTCTCAGCTGTTCTAATAAAATATGTTTGTTTAGGACTGATTGTGTCTGGTAATAACTACTTGGGCCTAGGTCACAACACCGTGTGCCTAACTTTCCCTTTGGAAATAGGGGTTAGTCCTTAACGTACGGCCATTTGTTTCACGACTGGCTGAAGTTATGATGCTTCTGAAGAAAGTGACTTAAAATCAATCATCTCTAGAGATTCTCAATCATCCAGGTTGTCGTTGTCTCAAAGTTGCTTCTCCAAAAAGCAACTGGACTTTCTTTCTTTCTTTTTTTTTTTTGGAATTTTTTTTTCATTTTTTAAACAAAACTTAAAACATAAAACAATTATCATCCATTACAATTACAGAAAGTGTATCGATCAGTTACAAATCTTTTGTGCTTAATCCTCTATCCAACATTATCTTATTTAACAGTTTATTACATTATTATTCTCATTTACTAATTATTTGACAATAGTTTATCTTTCATAAGGGAAATAAACCCCTCTTTATATGTTTTATTATTTTATCCATTTCATGATTCATATTTCATTTCCATGCTTTCTTATCTAACCATTGATAAAATAAATCCCATATCAAATAATATTGTTTATCTTCTTGTTCCCTAATTTCAAATGTCAATTTACTCATTTCAGCACACTCCAAAATTTTCTTAATAACATCGTCATCTGTAGGTATCTTCTCTTCTTTCCAGTTTTTAGCAAATACAATTCTAGCTGCCGTTAAAACATTCACAATTAAATATCTCAATTCTTTATTATATATTTCTGGTAAGATCCCTAATAAAAATATCTCTGGTTTAAAGTCAATGTGTTTCTTTGTCATTTTTTCCAGCCATGTGTGGATTTTAGTCCAATATCTTTTGGCTTCTGCACATGTCCACCACATATGGTAATATGTACCCGGAGTCTGATGACACTTCCAACATTTCTCCGATTTATTCTTGTACATTCTGGCTATTCTCGCCGGGGGTAGATGCCACCTGTAAAACATCTTATACAAGTTCTCCTTATATGCTGTTGACATTGTCATTTTATAATTCTGCAACCACAGTTTTTCCCATTTCTCTAAATCAATCCCACGACCAACATTTTTCCCCCATGCAATCATTGTTTCCTTAACTTGTTCTTCTGCCAATTTTACTTCTAATAAGTAACTGTACAATTTCTTAATTACATAGTCATCAGAACCTGTTAAAATTTTATCTAAATTTGTCAAATTATTATAAAAACCCTCCATTTTAGAATCTTTATCATATCTAGACGGTATTTGCATATACGAAAACCAATCCATTTCAGTCTCTTGTTCTTCTAGTTCTTGCTTCGACTTAAGTTCACCCTTTTCATTTAATAATTCACCATATCTAACAATTTGTTCCTTTCTAAATGTTATTGAGTGTGAGACTGCTTCAATAGGAGATAACCAGACTGGAATTTTTAAGTAATGACATTGTTTAATCTTCTCCCAATTTAATAACAAAGATTCTCGTATCATATACCTTCTAAAATAACCCTGTATTTTTGTACTTTTATACCATATAAAAGCGTGCCAATCCAACAACAAGTCATGTCCTTCTGAAGTCAACTATCTAATATTCCTTAATGTTATCCATTCTTTAATCCACATCAAATTACAAGCTTGATAGTATAATTCCCAATCCAGCAAACCAAAACCTCCTCTTAATCTAACATCTTGCAACAGTTTTAATTTTATCCTTGCCTTTTTATCCTGCCATATATATTTTAACACAATTTTATTTAAATCTTCAAAATCCTCAGCTATTGCTGAGCACATTGTAAGCCGCCCTGAGTCTTCGGAGAAGGGCGGCATATAAATCAAATTAAAAAAAAAAAAAAAAAAATTCCCCAACTTAATTGGAATTGTCTGAAATAAATATAAGAGTCTAGGCGGTATATTCATTTTAATAATTGATATTCTCCCTATCAATGATAATTGCAAATTCTCCCATTTTGCCAGATCTGTCGCTATCTGTTGTTTAAGCTTATCATAGTTATTTTCCTTAAGAATACCACATCTTGCTGTCAGATGTATCCCCAAATACTTAACCTTATTTGTGACCTGCATCCTTGATACTTCCACCAACTCTTCTTTCTGTTTTTTTAGCATATTTTTTGTCAAAATCTTCGTTTTATCTTTATTTATTTTCAGGCCTGCCACCTTCCCAAAGTCTCCTATTTTATCTATCAGTTTATTTATAGATTGAAGTAGATCTTCCAAGATAAACACCAGGTCATCTGCAAATGCTTGCAATTTATATTCTTGATTTTGGATTTTCATTCCTTTTATTCCTTTTTCTTCTCTAATATTTTTATTTAGTACTTCTAATGTTAGCACAAACAACAGTGGTGACAATGGGCAACCTTTCTCGTTCCTTTTTGTATTTCAATAAATTCTGTCAGCTCTCCATTTATCATTATTTTTGCTGTTTGTTTGTAATATATAGCTTCTATGGCTTGAACAAATTTCTCTCCAAAGCCCATCTGTTTCAATTGTAATATCATAAATCGTCAGTTCACATTGTCGAAGGCTTTCTGTGCATCTAAAAACATCAAAGCCATTTGCTTTTCTGGGTGCGTCTCATAGTATTCCAAAGTATCC